TAAAAATAATGTTTTTATGTAAATTTTAATAAGTGTGAAGGCGTTCTTTTGTTTTATTGGCATGAAAGTCAACGTCGATCATTTGCGAATTAGATACGTTCTTTCCTAGAATTTTAACCACTATACATATTATTTGAACAACATTACAATAAAACTAGATATCTCTCCTGGATTTGTACATATTTTTTTCTTACTTTATTGAATAAGATTCGTGTAAGTTTTACTTTATCGATTTCATCAAAGCGCACTTCAGTATCATGAGTACTCTTAAGAACATTTCTTCCATCGAAAAGCGATTTTACGGCCACGTGACAATATCGGAGAAGGGTTGGGGTGCATTGTCAGCAATACAGGACAAATGAATGTTATAAATCAATATGAAAGGTATACGATTGGGGATGAGAAATAGAAATCAGGATTCTTTTACAATATAATTGTGGATATCACCTGATATATTGTCATCCTTTACCGTCTCTTTGAATAAAGAGAGATAACGATATTATCAACCGTCACATTCAATTCTACGATAATGTTATAGAAGATTCCTGAAAATTTTGTAATTGTAATGTCTTAGAGCAAACAAAACGGTGCCATGTTTTTTTTTTTACTTTTAAGAATAGCAATCTATCATGTCGTTTACAAATACTGGATATGTTTCATCAAATTATCCTGTGAATATCTGCTAAAAAACTTGTCTTAATATACTGACAGAATGATATTTTAATCAAGACGAAAGGAACTGTTTTAACATCAGTGAATCGGCAGTGGAATAATGAAAGCAACATTTTTAATAACATGTAATAGTACGAAATACGCAAATTATCATAGTTATCTTACTAATATTATAAATGCGAAAGTTTGGATGGATGGATGTTTGTAAGACTTTGTAGCCTAAACTGCTGAACGAATCTCGATGAAATTTGGCAAAGATATAGAGGATAATCTGGAAGAACACATAGGCTACTTGCTTTTGTTTTTTTGATCCCACGTGGACGGAGTCGCGGGCGAAAGCTAGTAAATTAATATTTAGCTTAATTATCGAAAATCTTTTACGTTAAATTAATCATTTTGAGGGAAAAAATTAAATGTCCATTTAGATAGCAAATTTTCATCGACTGCATAAACTAAATTTTATTTGTACTCAAACTATTTTTTAAAACACTTGGGACAACAATGGAATTGCGACATAACATTTATATAAAGAATTTATCTCGTAGACTGTACTTCAAATGAACTAGACGAGAGGCGATTTTAACGTTCCTCAGTGTGTTTTGGATAACCGCAATGGTTAGACGTGCGTTTGAAAATAAGTCAAACCTAAGTTGAAAATATAAGTTTTAAGTTATAAAGTCGGATATTAATTGTGTTAAAAACATTTTAGATGTTAAATAGTGAAGTGTGTGATTAAAAAAGGAATTATTGAAAATTATATGCAGAATTAAATCAGTAAATTGAGTAAAAAAGGTAAGCCACTTTTTTAGTGTGATTTTTTTTTATCTTTTGCATTGAATTCTTAATGAATATTTTTGTCTTTGTTTATAAATATTGTTATATTGTGTGTAATATTAAGTTTTAAAATGTAGGTTGTTATTGCGAACTCTGATATCTTTTTAACATGTAATACACTTCCTAAATTACGTTCATAACGTAACGTTTTAGACAAATAATTAAATATTGCCTTTACAATACCTTCGCCTACCTCAAGTTGACTTGTGACCTATATATAAATTCTCTAATTTACTTCATTGTTAATAAACTGTTATGAAATATTTATGTATCTATATGTAATATAGATTAAATTGAACTAGCTGGCGACCGCGGCTTTGTCTTATTAGATTATTTTAAAATTACCCGATTCAGGTATTCCAGTAAGTTGTACGTTTTTATCCAAAAGTGGGTAGATATAAGCTGATGATGATAAAGATAGTGACGTAAGACTTTTCTTTTGCCAAGTTATTCTAGTAAAGATATTTTTAGATACTTTTCACTTAGAATTTTTTTTTATTCTTCCACCCTTGCAAACTAACTGAACTATTTGTGCAAAGATACGATTCTTTAAGTAAGTAAGTTAAGCTAAGCGTTAATTTTGTTTAAACTAAATATCGCATGAATTATAAAAACATGAATATACTAAATCAGAGTTTCTTACAAATATAACCATTATCCGCTAATGATGGCATTTTTTTTTTACTGATTTAATCTTTGCTAAGACTGTTAACGTTTTTGTTGCTCGTTGAATTTATGTTTTATGCAAAAATAGTTATAATCTTTCAATGATTGTGTATTTCCCAAGAAAGGCGATAGCATTTTATGCAAAGGCGTTTCTTGTAGTGTACAATCGGGAAAACTGGCGGCGTTCCATCTAAAGCTACAGTCGTTTGAAAATTTTGAAAAGACAATCAATAAAAACCAACAAAAATCAGCTTATTAAAGTGTGTATGAAATAAAACGGTATTTGATTAACGGCTATTTTTAATATCCCTTCGTTTGCGCCACTCACTACCATATAATTGGTTATTTGTTGGTAGAGGTGGAATTTATCTCTACAATAAACAAAGCTGTTATTCATAAGTAAAACACCGTTAGTTTCTGCAATTGTACATTATGTCTGTAAAGGCGAAAATGCGTAGGTTTATATATGCTTTTAATAAAAGCCACCGATTCTCATAAAAACTTATTTCTGCTACTTCTATTTATTTTATCTGACTATGTTTACACTTTGACAAGATATGTATTCTTTGATTGCCTCTTCTCTTACTTTTATAAGCCTACATAAGATGTAATGTATTTCATATTGGTACTTTATAGTCTGAACATATAATGTTAATATGATGCATGATATTGTATTGCATTTTTTATATTTCCAGTACATGTTTCACATTTCAGTGGCATCAATATACTACGACTATGAACTTAAAAATTAAATTGGTTAATTAGTTGAATTTCTTGACTCTAAGGGCTGAATTCTCAAACGAATATTTGCTTCGCAAGCTCTGCTACAATCTGTTATATGTAAATGTGTTTATTGATTTTATAGTTTAAGTATGGTCTGGATCCTGTAATATAAGTAAATGACGTTTCAATTTTTGCCCTTGGATATAACATTTAATTAATCTGAATAACCTTTTTTCACGTGATCTATTACGTGTACTTATTCTTTAGAGAATTTATAAGTAAATATGTAAGATGACTTTATTTAAACGGAGTTATAAATGAATACTTTTTTAGATAAACAACAATTCTGTAATTTTTGTTAATGTTTCTTTCTGTGTAAGTTGTGGGTTTGTTCGCGTGTAAAAAAGTGTATGTACATACATAAGTCGTGTTATTTATACTTATATTATAAATTCGAAAGTTTAGATGGATGGATGGATGTTTGTTAGAGTTTGCAGCCTAAACGGCTCAACGGATTTAGATGAAATTTAGCTTAGATATAGCGGATAGTCTGAAAGAACACATAGGTTATTTCTTTTAGTTTTTTTTTATTCCACGCGGACTTAGTCGCGGGCCAATGCTAGTAACTCATAAACTACTGGACCAATATCAAAAATTCTTTCACCATTAAAAAGCTAAGTTATCATTAAGCAACATAGGCTATATTTTAGCTAATTATTGAATAATTCATGTACTGATTGTCTTTACTAGTGTACAATATGGCGTCGACTCGTCTCCACTAGTTGACAAAGAGTAAACGCCAAATAAAATGTTGCAAATCGTGCCTTTAACTGTAATGTGTTCCAGCCTTTATATTATCAATCATCTTCAAGCGTATGTTTCCCAATTGATGTTAATTTTCTCTTTATTCGTCAAATTAACTTTATATATAAACCTATAACATATACATACATTATTAGTAACGATAAGTTTATGAAATGAGTTTACGTAACTAACGTAACTTGAATTTTACTCCGTTGAAACTTAGGTCAACCTAACGCTAATATATCACTAGGTAATCTTATAGTCACTCGCATAAATGCGAACGTTTAGGTGTGTGTTAGAGGTTATAGCCTAAACGGCTGAACGGATTTCGGAATTTGGCATAGACGTAGAGGATAGTCTGGACATAGGCTACTCAGTTTCATTTTTATTTAATCGCGAACGGAGTTGCGGGCGAAAGCTAGTATGACAAAAATGGAATGTAGTAAAGTCTTTCCTTTTTACGTTTGGATGGATATTTGTTAGAAGGTATCTTCTAAACTTCAAAATGAATCTTAATGAAATTCAGCATAGATCTTCCCACGTGGACGGAGTCGCAGGCGAACGCCAGTGATAAAAGAAATGGAAACTTCAACAACCCAGTAATGTCCAATACACCTCTTACATTTATCACGTATAAATAGATTATATGAATACCCATCGATGAAATACTTGGAATAATAATGCAAAAGAGTGTTATTTTCGTTTTAAATTGAACAAGTTGTGCAAACATTCTGCTTGGTGAAGACGCTAATGACTCACTCGGCACCGTTACGTCGATATCAAACACTTCGACAATGGAATTAAATCACTATTTTTATATCTTCTAAGAAAATTTCACTTTTATAAAATAACAAAGAAGGATTTACATTTTCATGGAAGAAGTGAGCTTTTCAGGGGAACGAGAAGCTGAATTTATAGTTTTACTTGGTTATAATAAACTAGCTGTTGTTCGCGAATTCGTCCGTGTAAAATTAACAATGATATGAAATACCTACCTACATATGTTACTCACTGGAAACGTAGCTATTTAGTGGTTAAATAATCTTTGAACTCAGCCCAGTAGTTTTTGATTTATTTTAATGCATAGAAAAATACAAATCTTTCCTCTTTATAATATTAGTATAGATTATTTTATGATTAGCAGCTTTATACGAAGACGTGAGGTATACAACAAGAAGGGTTTTTCAATTTTTTTTTGACTAATAACTATCGACTTATAACAAATGTAGTTATTTAGTTACTATACTGATCGGTAATGTTTTATTTTCCAGATACAAAAAAATGTAATAAAATAATGAAAATCAAAACATCGGAAATAACCAAATAATGGCTGAAAATAAACTACCAAATGCTAATAATTTAACATTAGATGAATATAATAAAGAATTGAACATTAATGTGATGTCAATAGAAAATTGTACCATCGCAAGAATTATGAACCAATCTACAGAAGATTATACAAATATCGTACAAGTTTACAAAGACTCCAATATTTTATGTTTAGAACATGCTCCCGTTTTAACAAAAATCACGATTATAAAGGCCAGTGTACTTTCAATACTGGCTGCATTATCATTCTTTGGAAATATAATAACTCTAATCAGTGTTAGAAGAGGAAATCAAAACAGAGGTCGCAGTAGACCATCTTGTACCGCGATATACCGTTTAATATTTCATCTGACCATAGCTGATTTATTTGTTACGGTGTTTTGTTTAGCGGGCGAAGCCGCTTGGTCGTTGTCAGTACAATGGTACGCGGGTAATGTGGCCTGTAAGGTGTTTAAATTTTTGCAAATGTTTGCACTACATTTGAGCACATTCATCTTGGTACTTATTGGCGTGGATCGATGGTTAGCGGTTAAATATCCTATGAAAAGTTTAGCCACGGCTTCGCGGAGTTCGAAGTTTATATTTATTGCTTGGATCCTCAGTTTTATACTCAGCGTGCCTCAGGTAAGATTTTTTATTAACCAGCTTACGTCCACGACTTCGTATGTCTATGCGTCCTTTTAGACTACCCTTTACATCTACACCAAATTTCATCTAGATCCAATCAGCAGTTTACGCTTTAAACTCTAACATCCATCTAAACTTTTCTTTTATAGCGTTTTTATAATTAAAAATAAAAAAAAATCGGAATTCCGGATTGTTCATTTGATACTGAATTAATTATTATTAAGTATCTAGCACGAATAATAACATAACAGAAGGCCACAAATACAACACGTAGTAACTAATTTTTGTTATTTCTTAAATCAAATACAGGACTTTAGTAAGATTTTTGTTTCACATCGAAGACATAATTTTTGAAGATAAATGTATAATAAAACATTGAAATTTTTAATTGACTTTTGTAATTCAATACGCGAAGTTTTGTTTGTGGTATTTTGATTAGAAATTAACACGAATTCTTTATTTTAGGCGATTATTTTTCGAGTTGCAAGGGGACCCTTTGTCGAGGAATTTTATCAATGCGTAACACATGGCTTCTACACAGCGCGATGGCAAGAGCAAATTTATACAACATTGTCATTCACTTTTATGTTTGTAATACCTTTGATAATTTTGATCTCCACCTACATATCAACAGTAAGAACTATTGAGGGTAAGTATTCCGTGATGTGTCTTGTCCATACTGTTCTACAATCGACATGTCGCACACTCCATTATCGGGATGCCTCAATATTGCTCGTGTGTTTTTCTTATACCTCATCTATCAAAATTATAAAGTCCATCAAACAAATTTAATACGTGACTATCAATTAATACTGCATCTGATTGGATTATCGTTATTGAATCGTTTGGTTAAACTAATATTTCCTTTATTATGCTACTATAAGAGATACAATAGGTTACTAAAAAACGTTCATACTTCATAGATATAAACGAATTAAAATGATTTTGTCAATGGCCGTGCTCTAGTCAAAACTGTTCCGGCCGCGTCCGATTATCAGGACGGATTACTGTCCTACCTGATGTGTTTCACTGATTCTTCGATGTTTACAGGCAGCAAAAGGATATTCGAAATCGGTTGCAAAAGGCAAGACATTACAACTTTAGATATTAACAGGACCAGGCTAATTGATCGCGCGAAAATAAAGTCATTGAAGATGTCCATAATCATAGTTGCCGCTTTTGTGATTTGGTGGACACCTTACTACATAATGATGATTTTATTCACTTTCTGGAATCCTGAAAAAATTGTAAGTTTGTTTATCTTATCTGACGACAGTGTAATATTTAAATAAACTGTCTTCTTTTCTATTATTTGTGAACTATGCTCGTTCTGCTCTGCGTACTGCGTACTCTCTCTGCGTACTGCCTCTTTTATGCTATCTTATCATCTTGATACCATATGACGCCAATATTCTCCTTTACCTTTTACATATACATTCTTCTTGTTTTTCTCCTATTTATTTTTCTTCTGTTTTACCTTCTATCATGGTATTAGGGTTTTCTGTCTTATGTATTATGAAATAACATTAATAAAAGAAATTAAAACAAATTCGATTATCAAAATTAGAAAAGTTGGTTACTAACTAGCTGTAGCCCGCGACTTTTTTAACCCGATTGAAAAATCTTGATAGTCTACGTTTTCTTCCAGAGTATGTACGTCTATACCACATTTTAGTGAGATCGCTTGTCATTCTTAATATACGTAGTAACAAATATCCATACAACCATCCATTCGAATTTAAAATATTAGTAATATTAGTTGTTCCGTTCGTAAGATGTCGTTAGTCATTTATGAATAGTAAGAACAACCTTTATACAGATTGAAATGAGTTAATATATCTAGGAATAGCATTGATACACATAACATTAAGTACGGTAACCTTTTTTTCAGTTGGGCGAAAACCTTTTGTCCGGAATCTTTTTCTTTGGCATGTCAAACAGCCTCGTTAATCCCGTTATCTACGGAGCTTTCCACTTATGGCCGAAAAAGAAACGATCCAGTCAAAGCGATAAGTACGTATTAACATGATTATTAGTTCAATTGGCTCTATATTGTTAAAAAGTGTGTTGTTCCTTTTATTTTTATTTTTTTTAATGCATGTTAATACTTCTTCAGATAGGAAGGAATCAATTTGTTGTACAGATTCTTAACTTTATGAAAATAATAGCTTTCGCAAATGAACCCGTCCGCGTCTGAATAAAAAAAAATCAGTACCCTTTGTGTTCCAGACTATCCTCTA